AGCTTTGAAGGCCATTACAGGGCTATTAACAGCGTATTTACATTTTATGAGAGTCTTAGCTTAAAGCAACGTGTTTAGGGTAGCCACTAAATGTACTGGCATTAATTTAAGAAAATTATATTTTTAAAAGCGAAAACTATAAGTAACGTAAAAAATATTTTTAGACTACTTTCCTACGAAAAGTCAGTTATTTGATATTTTAATAGTTTTTTCTCCGATAGTATAGTATATTATCACAATACGCATGTAATTTCTCAATAAAGACATGCTTATTAAAGATTTTCAATTGTTAATGAGATCCCTTCTTCGAATGATACCTTTTTATGGTAAGCGCATTCACCAATTTGCAGGTTTTTTGTAAGAATACCACCACCTTGTCTGCTTTTTCTCCTATATGTTAAACATTATCTTTCTCGGGGTTATTGGGTTAAAAAGCTTATGTTTAGGCATGCAAGGGTCCTGTATGGTGGGGGGGCCAGGGTAAACTCTCTCAAACTTCCGTAAGGTCTGTCCACCCCTGGTGGGGATGACAACAGACTTGTGGGAGACACTTTTTATACTTGAAGGCCCATTGTACAAATTCACTGATATTCAAAGTTTTAATGTATAGGGTTGTTCGGAAAGTCATTTCGTTTTTTCCCGACAGAGGACTTAATTGTATTCTTTTGCACCCAACTTCACATTTAAGCCGTATAATTTTTATATGCTTTGAGAGCTCATATAGCAAGGCTTGTGTGTGAAAAATTCCAATTAATTCTAAGCAGTAGTTTTTGGTTGGTGCCCTTTTAAATATGGAGAGCGATAAGCAGCATTTTCGACATATCTTACTGTTTTACTACAGAAAGGGTAAAAATGCTGTTCAAGCCAGAAAGAAATTGACTGATGTGTATGGAGAAGGTGCGTTGACAGTACGCCAGTGCCAGAACTGGTTCGCTAAATTTCGATCCGGCAATTTTGATGTCGAAGATGCACTACGTTCGGGAAGGCCGGTTGAAGTTGATAAAGACGCGATAAAGGCATTAGTTGATGTGAACCGGCGAATAACAACACGTAAGATCGGATTGAGGTTAAATTTATCAAATTCAACAGTTTATGACCACTTGAAAGGCCTGGGATTATCCTCGAAGCTCGATGTATGGGTTCCCCATGTTCTCGCAGAGAGAAATCTGTGTCGCCGCATTGACGTCTGCGATTCGCTTCTCAAACGTCACGAAAATGATCCGTTTTTGAAGCGCATCATCACTGGGGACGAAAAATGGGTTGTATACAACAACGTCAAACGCAAGAGGTCATGGAGCAAAAAAGATGAACCGGCTCAAACCATTTCCAAAGCCGATATTCACCAAAAAAAGGTGATGCTGTCTGTTTGGTGGGATTTTAAAGGAATCGTTTTTTTTAAGCTTTTACCGGATAACACAACGATTAATTCGGAAGTCTACTGTCATCAGCTGGACAAACTGAATGACGCATTTCAAAAGAAAAGAACTAATCAACAGGAAAGGTGTAGTGTTTCACCAAGACAACGCGAGACCTCACACAAGTTTGGTCACTCGCCAAAAGCTTTTACAGCTTGAATGGGATACAATGCTACACCCACCATATTCTCCAGACCTGGCACCATCGGATTATTATTTGTTCCGGTCGCTCCAAAATTTTTTAGACGGTAAAACCTTCACCTCAAATGAGGAGGTCAAAAACCTCCTCGATCAGTTTTTTGCCAGCAAAGACCAAAAATTTTATGAGCGTGGTATTATGCTACTACCAGAAAGATGGCAAAAGGTGTTGGACCAGAACGGTCAATATATAATTTAATAAAGTATTTGTTTATTATACGAAAACCACAAAAAAAAACGAAATGACTTTCCCAACAACCTTATATTTACGTATCACAACTGCTCATTTGCTGCAACTCGGATGACCATCACGGGTGAATAAATAATGTTGAAAAGACAGGACTGGAGATCCCAAAAATAAGTAATTGACAGTGACATTTCGAAATCCTTAATTTTCTTCCCAAAAGAAATGTTTAAAATTCAGGTCTGTGCATTTGATCAATTCGTCGATTGAAAAACGACTTATAGGTCTGACGGTCGGGATACGCCGTTTCTGTTACTATGTATGTACGTCACAACCTCCGCATCGGAAGAAAGCGGCTTCGTTGAAGCAGAAGAATTCCAAGTGCTTTCGCCTGATGCCTGGCCCTTCGTATATAGACAACGTCCGTTCGCCGCAACCAAAGCAACGGATAAAATTACTCCGTCGAAAACGAATCACTATTATGGACACGTTATCTGATTTAAGTGTTTTCGTAATGGCATCCCGTAGTGACCCCCTTAAGCCGGTAGAGCCCGTCGCTCCAGGTCACCACTTCCACTCGCTTCCTGGCAGCTACGTATAAACACTCCGATTGGAAGACGTCCTCGTCTATTTTTTTTTTTAATGAAAAGATAAGGCAATTGGATTCCGTTTTTTCGCGATAATTGACGTGTGAAATATTATTAATTAAGTAGTTACTTCTCTTTTTCCTTATAAATTTCGAATTTAGTGGCTTCAACTTTCGTATTTTATGACATTGCTGAAAGGCCTTTCATTTGGAACGGAATTTTTTCGACAGTTACAACTAACCGAAATCGCTAAAACTAGATTAGGAACGAAACCATATTTACAAGAACAATGTCAAACTATCTTCAAACCAACACGATAAGGGTTAAATAAGAAAAATTCTTTAATGCATAAGGGCTCTTAAAGCTTAAGTTCAAGAATTCAAGGAGAAAGCTTAATTTTTATGACAACGCAAAAATTACAATTTTCGATTATAAATTCTGGTACAAATTGTAATTTTTATTATTTTCGCTTACGAAGCAATGGGCTAGTGGGATAAATTTTAAATATCTCTTTAATATTTAGGTAAATTTTCTCCATGTATTAAGACAATTCTAAGAACAAGACTATATCATGGTCTTGCTCTTGCCTCTACTCAATCTATATTTTAAATGGGCATTTCAAACTGCAGTCGTAATACGATTTTATTATGGCCGAGTGCATTCCCTGTTGAAGTTTATTTTACTTTTCCATTATTCGCTTATTTTGACACGCTTCAATCTCAGTATTCCAAGGATTTATAGTTACTTACCGTAAACAGAATGAAGCCTTCAATGCGTCCATTATTTTACTTCGCATCAGTCGTTTATAGCTTAGTAACATGTAAACCAACTATAAATTTAAAGTACGTGATGGTGCCTCGCAATGAAGGGTTTACGTTCTGGATGTTTATTTGACCCCCGAGGACTATAAAGAGCTTAACTCCTTTCAAGAAACGGCACTTCCGTCGGCAAACGGAACCGGATATAGATTCCCATTCCATCAAGCAAGCTGCTCTAGCTTTAAATGAACCAATCTACCGTTTACTTAATAAACATGAAACAAACGAAATAACATTCATGCATCTCAGTGGCAGAGCGTGCATAAGAGACCGTCCATACTTTACCTAAGACTTTTAGGGGGCGCTTGTAGTTTTCTTATGATTTCTCACGCACTTGGCTTTCCATCTACCTCTGCCCCTCTTCACTCCTGTTTCTGCTTCTAATATATCTCTGCCTAGCTTTTCATGTCTCAGGTAGCCATTAAATATTTTTTTATTAATTTCTAAATTAACCAAAGGTACACAAACTGTCAAACTGACGATTTCAATTTATTTTTCTCCTAAACAAAGAATAATTCCTTTTTATTAACCTTTACTATTTAAAACGCTTCTTTTTGAGCAGATAATAATTATTACTTTAAAATAAAACGCACAAAAACTATGAATAACAGGAATTACGATCTGTCTTCCATTTTTCTATTTAATTCTCCAGCTTTGGTTGGAAACAAAGAGGAAAAATTTGTAAACTGGGAAAGTAGTCTTCACTTTACTTTTTCGGTAGCATCAAGAATCCTTAAAAGAAAAAAACAGTTGCCGTCTTTCAGCTGTCATATATAATATTTTTTTAGCTCAGCTGTGAGATGTTCTTGAGAGAAAAACAAACTTGACGTTTAGTTCGTTTCGTTTGATAAACGAAATCAGGCCAAGTTGCTTGCCATTCAGCTGACAATGTGAAATAGGTAAATATGTATATGAACTCGGGTATAAAAACAATAAAAGTAGTCGAGTGAGTAGCAGAAAGGGCCCAGCTAACTAGATCGCTCCGGTGAATCAATGTTTGACAAAAGTCGACCCTTCTGTGTGTCGAAAGTATTCTGAATCCAGATAAACGATTGGGATTTTCCTCTGTTCGCTTTCGAATTTTGACGGAGCACATAAATATCTAACTAAAATACAAAAGGCATACCCAGAGGATGTTATAGTTGTTGGGTAATTTATCAGAAAATATCAGCAATTGCGAAATCCTAAAACTTATTGATTTTATGCAATTTACAATGTATAGATTAAAATCCCATTAGAGAATTATAAATTAGTTAAAATTATTTTATTGACTCGTTACACACAGCTAGCGAAACTTTTGTCAAAAAACCAACCTTTGGAACGTTTATATGTACGGCCTGTAGTAAGACAGAGGTTTTTTACAAACAATTCCGAAATACATCATTAAAGTACACTTTTTCACTGAAAATTAAATGCTTATTTATGAAAACAAAAATGTAATCCAAAATCTAAATATTGTTAAACTAAATGGGCCAGGACAAACGGCGATGTAACACCATGTATTTCTAACAATATTGAAAACAACACCTCTTCTAAAAGTTCGTTAAGATAGTCTGATAAATTTTTAAAAGCAGTTGTTGTTGACTTATTTAATTTTTAATACTCTATTTTAAATTCAAGGCTCTATCTAAAACTTTGGTTTTCAGTCAACACCCTTAACAGCATTTCTTTATCCTCACGTCGAGATTTTAAAATATTAATCATTTTATCTTTCAAGTCATATTTATTGCAAAATACTTTTTGGGCGTAAATTATTTTCAGTTGCAACTATTAAAGAATTCCTTTTTCTTCTTTACAGGTAAACATGCGGTACGGATTCCTTAATATCGGATTTGGAAAACAGCTAGAAATAATCGGTAAGTATTTGAAACACTCTTTTTATGATCACCAGTTCTCCTTATACACCAGGGTTGCAGGTAGAACATGACATTCAGAATTTCCCCCTTCTACCCTATCATTGTAAAATAAGCAAAAACAATCATCGACGTGTAACACATGATGGTCAATTCCACATTATAAATGAACCTGACCTAGCCTAACCTATCAACAAACGTTCTTAAGCATAAAACTAATATAGCGGATACACATTCGACATAGTAAATTGCTTGCCCTTTAAAATATCATCACCATTATCATAGGGTCATCAACCCTAATAAGACTGGTTGGACACGTACCTCCACTCTAATCTTCGCATGTCCCTAAAACTAGAACATCCCACATCCTTAACTATTTGCGAACAGTAATCTAATCTAGGTCTACCTCTACTCCTCTTAACTCCTGTTTCTGCTTCTAATATGTCTCTGACTATACCTTCATGACTGAGATAATGTCCTATCAGCCTATCCATCTACCTTCTGCCTACTATTTCTACCTATATCTAATACATACAGGGTAGGCCATTAAGCGCGCCTTGCTCTCTAGCGGTCTTGGCGATGAAAGTGGAAGAAAATGTTTCCAATAAAAAATGTTCGTGGTCATATGGTCCATCTGCGGAAAATAATTTCAGAGATGGCGGACTTCTGGATATACCGAAAATATACATCAGCTGTCTTCTTTTAAATGGAACACCCTGTATATCATTACATTTTTGAATTCAGCGTCAATTTTAATGTCCAGTTTGTTAAGCATAGTTTTTGCCTGAGCGGTATCTTATTGGAGTTATTTCTAGAAAAGTTGACGTTTGTAGTACCTTCCAAAAATTGTAATATCTCGGTAATTATACCTGCTGCAATACAACAAAGTTGCAATAATGTGTTTGCAACGTTCTCTTAAATCGGCTTTGCACGTGCAAGTCATTGATATGATATTGCTTAAATCACCCAGAATCACCTCACCAATTATATAACGTGAATCACTTTTTAATCCGATGTTTGTAAAAAGTAGGCAGTAAACTTGACGGAATTAGAAGGCTAGCTTCCGGATTTGTTATTTCCGAATTTTATAATGTGATTGGCATTAAAAACACGCTCACCTTCAACGAAATTTCCTTTCCGATGCGTTGTGTCAGCCCAATCACATATTGTGTCAATACTTATCATTTTATCGTAATTTAAAAACTTGGAAACTCCACGCTACACTATAGGAACTACGATAAATTTTCCCTAATCGGCGCCATGTTTTTAGACTCCTCCCATTTGACGGATCCCAACATGTGTTTTTTTTTATAATCTCTCACACTATTGGAATCAGAAGTGCCTCGCATAAATAATCCAAGACTTTGTTCAGTTGGTATTAAATGACCCCATTTCATCGGGACCTTGCCTTCGTAGATTACAATAATGACCCCAGGCCAGCCTCTCACCACGACGAGGCCCGGGTCTCGCCTGCGTTTTTCATGGCTACAAAATTTGTGTCGCCCTCAGTCACTGAAGGACCGTTCGGAAAGAGTCGTTTCCGCTATTTTGCAGTTCGCGCTTCGCTCTCTCGTCCTAACCTAAATCTAATAATAATATAACATTATGACGCCGAGGCGCGAACCCTTCGTCGTAAGAAAATACGACGCCAACGTGAACAAGTTTTGGGGAACTGCAATTCATCTATGATTTAGGGCATCACTTAGCGGACTTGATGGGCTCGAATTTCTGTAATAGTACACTAAGTGTAAAATTTAACGGGCTATTTTGTGAAATGGATCGCAGCATCAGTTTACTATTACTTTGCTAAGTTTGTGTAATATGAAAGTTACCTTAAAATGTACCTACACAGTAAGATAATCATGATTAAATGCTACTTTACTTAAAGTAATATCGAAGATGATCAAATTACAATTACATATTTTAAAAGGAAGTTTCTAAATATATTTGAAGTAGCTTGTATTTTTTTTATATTGCAAACATGGTTAATAAATCTAGCTAAACTTTGCAAAATACTTGGGAAAATTTGTAAATTTTTTTTCAGCCCTCTGTAATGTAATTTTGTTTATTTAAAAGATCATGAGAATTCGGTTAGTTTAGGACTGTTTTTGGGGAAGTAGGTGATATTTTGAGATCGACAGGGTTGAAAAAATATTGTACACGTTCACAGAATTACGTATCTTACCTTGTAACTCGGACAAAATTCTTGGTAAAAAACTAAAAAACTAAAACTAGTTAAGTTGGGGAATCCCTGGAGTGTCTACTCTAAACTAATATGGCAACTAAGTTATTACACACTAGTGACCCGTCTCAGCTTCGCACGGGTGCAATGCTGATACTAAATATATTTTTGTTTTGTTTAGATTAATATCGAAAAGGGGAAATCTTCAAAAGATACCCCCTGAAGATACTAAATATACTACAGAATGTCTTTATATACAACATTCACAGTTTTTTTGTCATCAGACAATACAAACCGGCCTCCCGGCCGGTACCGCCGCAACCGCTATGTCCCTGCATTTTAAATCTGTAATATGTTCGAAAATATTCATTTAAATTACATGCTGTAGAGGGCCATATTGATCTATATTAAATGCACAATGTATTTAAGGTACTTAATCGGATAAGAATTAATGCTGTATTGCCTACAATCGCTTCGTAAATAAGTCATTATTTCTCATAAAAAGTAAAGGATAAAAATGGTTATTGTGGGTTATCCCTAAGAGATAGACATATACCAACCCGGACTTTTTTGTAGACCCTTTTAAGATGTACAATATTGTAGTACATTATTTTGATCTATCTCGTAGGGTTCAGCCAGCGTTTGCAATGTAAGCGCAAAAAATGTGTTTATTTACGACATCACATTAGAAATCCCTAAAATTATCAGTGTTTACCTAGTATATTATGCATGTATTATACATATAAACCTTCCTCTTGAATCACTCTATCTTTTAAAAAAAAACGCATCAAAATCCGTTGAGTAGTTTTAAAGATTTAAGCATACATAGGGACAGGCAGCGGGTAAGCGACTTTGTTTAATACTATGTAGTGAAGACGCTGACCGTCAATTTCAAACATAAAAAGCAATAATGGGGAGTTAAACTATTAGAATTATTAATTAAATGTTTGACAGCCTATGATTTTATTGAAGACTCATTCCTGCAATACCTAATCCGGATTTACTGATAATATGGATCGTCCATCGTCCGTGTCTTAACTACTCCAAAATATCGAGCCATCACTGTAATTTATTTTGCATGATACCCCCAAACATTTGGTCTCCCTTAGCAGCACTTCAAGTATTATTTTCTTTTGTACCGAAGGCACATTCTTCAATCTCGCACTGCATAAATAAAAAGAGTTTCCCCTACTTGAATGTTTTTATTATTTTTTTTTGTATTAAGTACGTTCTACCCCGTTGGTTGGTCGCATCCCTTTCTGTATCTTTTTGCCTTGAAATTCACTCCTGTATTCGCGTTCGTTAAGGTAAAGTACAATCTACCCCCTAAGTAGAACAAATAATAATAACATTCTTCACCAAGCAACGGTGTTATTTGTTGGCGCAACGTGAGGCGTGCGTAAGGGGCGAAAGAAAGAAGAGCCGGGAAGGGTGGTTTACTTAATTGGAATGCAAACTTCGTGACTATTTTCATTTTTCTTTCAAGAGTACATCGCACCCTCCTGAAGGCACATCAACGGGTGGGATTGCAACTGACGCGACGGGAACGACAAAAATTGGTTTCATTTTTAACTACGTACACCTACCGCCTATCGCCACGTACAATGGGGTAAAATCTAATGTTTTCCTGCAAAAAATTTTTTGGCACGAAAGCATCTGGTACCCGTCGGATCCGGCACTTTTTTAAAATCCGGCCGGGTACCGGTTAATGAGTACCCGGCAGTGTCGGGTAATTCTACCAGAAGCAAAAGAAAAAAACAATAATAATTTAATAAGTACAGTGTAAACTCTATATAACGACACTTAAGGGACTGAACATTTTTCGGCGTTATAAAGAGTGGTCGTTAAATGGAGAGAAATAAAAGATATTATTTTACTATTCTATAATAATATGCATTTACCAATATAGTACACATTTTGCACACGAACATTATTATTCATACATTGCGTATAGCCTGTTATCTTCGTCTGATGTTTTTTGCTGCTCCAATATTTTAATTGTATTTTGTTACGTATCTTACTCATATCTTGAGATACTGCTGGATCAATTTGATTATATAAAAAGTATTTTTTTAATAGTTTCGCTGCATCAAGTGCTTGTTTGATGCTTGGTGGAGGGACAGGATCGTCTTCTTCAACAACGTACACAGCTGCAGTTCTTATCTATTTCGGCAACTTAGAAAGTACTGCTTAATGATTTATAATGCCGCATTGTTGTCGTTAAATAGAGTGAGCGTGACGCTATATAGAGTGTAATATTGTATAGAACACAATGTAAACCAACCAAAGTCAAGCAATTTCGACGTTTTAAGGAGTTTGTCGTTAAATCGAGTGACGTTATAAAGAGTTTACACTGTATTACAAAAAACGTGCCTAATGGAAATTGGTAATGAGGATTGTAACGGGAAAAGTCGTTTATTCTAATTTTATATTATTTATTGATTACTGTGCTAAATTGTTTGTTGTTAGTGTTTATAAACATTATAGGCTCGCTTATAGCTTGGGACGTTGATGAGGGCGATATTACAAATGCTAGATGCCGGTTATACTGTGCTTATATGTACATATATTTTAGTGATTTAAAAATGTTTTAAAAATTAAGTTGTCCTAGAAGACATACATATCTGCTTTGCTAAAGTAATTTCTGTTCAAATTCACGATACACATCGTAATTAATTAAATTTCTTAATAACTGTTCCACCAAAGAGTAACTTTGGCTTAAGTAGATTGAAGACCAGACGAGAAATCCGACGTAAACCCAAATACTTAACAAGATTACGAAACCCGAAATTACGGTCCGAAATACCATTCTCATGAGCTA